ATGTTGGATTCTTGATGTGTCTTTTGGTTTTTACTCTAATATTCTAATTCCCTGAGATGTGAGGGTGGCAGAGACAATTAGTCAAAGGTAGATATATAGATGTGGTTTCTTTTTTATAGGATCTAGGCAAATGAAGGAAACCAGAAAATCCATGGTCATGAGGCTGATGGACCAGTCTTTAAGGAGCTCTCTCGTTCATGTCAGAGAGCAGCTGATGACCAGATCTCAGAACCCTACCATGTTTGGAGGTCTTTCCTTAGCTCACCTTTGGTGATCTGTATCCCAACTTTGCCACATCCTAGCTATGTGGATATAGACAGGTTGCTCAGCCTCTTGGAAGCTCAGGAGTCTCATCTGAACAATGGGAATATTAGCACCCTTTTTGGAGGGTTGTGGTGAGGATAGATGAGTTAAAGCATAATCCCCAAGGGACTCATGGATGACACTTGATAAATGTGAGTTTTACCTTGAATTGCTCCAAAAGTAGGCCTTTACTTCTTTCTTCCTCCTCTCTCCTGGGCCATGATAAACTGGATCATCATCTGAGATAGTCTCCTAATATGTGCACATGTGCTTTGCCATGTCCACTCCACCTCTACTGCAATAGGATCAATCCAGTCAGAGTGACTCTCATTGTGGCTCCCAAGCTTTTTGTGCATGCATCTGCCCCCTGCTGGCATGTGTATAATCAGTCTTCTCTCATCTCCCTGCTCAACAGGAATTCATGACTCACTTAACTTTTATGCACTTCTAAAAGTGTGACCTAATCCAGAGGTATGATGACTGTGGGAAGGAGGATGGGCTGTAGAAGGGAGGATGAGCTGATCTCTCTAGAAAATACCCCCTCCTCTTTCTACCTTTGGCAGTCTTGTACCTTCATGATTTGGAAGGAGGTGCTTGACCTTACCTGTCCTGCACCTACTGCTCTCTCTACAGGTGTTTGACCCTTCCGTTTTGAACCAGGTGCTGATGCTTTCCTGCCCTTCTCAGGAGGATCAAGGTGAGTCATCCTAAACTTTGGTGGTACATATCACTGGGGGCATACCTTGATGATTGTGACCTACATTTATATGTTGTATCTGTAGTTATACACCTCTATGTTGGTGTGTTGAGAAGAAGATATTTTTCTATACGTACAAAAGAAAGGTGACATTTCAGGGCAAAGCACAAACACTTGATCCTGCTGTTTGAAAATCTACAAAGACTACAGAATTCCTCTTGTGAATAACTTACATAAACTTTGAACTTGGTTACTAAAAACAAGCTGTTTCTGCCCTAGCTGCTTTGGCTGAGAAGTCAGAGCATAGGCCAGATGACTGAAGGGTTGTGGGTTTGATTCCAAGGAAATGTACCATGATTGCAGGGTTGATCCATGGCCCCAGTGGGGGCGCTTAAGGGAAGCAACCAAACAGTGGGTCTCTCTCACATCGATATTTCTCTCTGTGTGTCTCCCCCCATCCCTTGCACTTTTTCTGAATTTCAATGAAAAACAAACAAACAAACAAACAACACTTTACCCAAGGATTAACAAAAAATAAAAAAGGAAGAAACAAAGTTTTTCTGAATTCATAAATCTGTGAATTCTTCAAATGGAGAATCAACTTTCATAGAACACACTTTTCAAAAACTGTTCTTCCAGAGATTTATTGGCCGTACCAGTTGGTTTCTCCCAGGATTGAGAGACCTTGGCTTAAAGTCATGTGCATGTCACTAGAAGGTAGGAGAGCACTAGGCAGCTCAATTTCTAGCTGAGAACTCAAGTTTACTTTTTTTTTCTTCTTTCAATGTTAATTTACTTTTTCAATTCAATTGATTTCATTCAAATATAAATGTATCTTAAGTCTGTATCTGTGTGATAAGTCCTGTGCTAGGAGATGGGAAAGATACTGTCGCAGCCTCTAGGAGTTCACAGTCAAGAAACAAATGCCTCTACTCACAACACAATATTCATTCATTCTTTCACTCACTCATTCACTTATTGAACACCCTGTTGAACATTTCATGTTCCTTACACTGTCCAGGGCACTGGATGGTGAGGTATTGTTATATAAAACACTAAATAAAATACTAATGCTGCTTTGAGGGTCTTGGAAGGAAGAGGTACTATTAGCAGAGGGGTGAGGATGGCATGTCATTGGGATCAGACTTGAATATATTGCAGGCAGAGGTGCAGGGAGGTCATTCTTTGTGATCTCAGCAACATGAGTTGAGCTAGGAAGTGGAGCTGGGCAGGTAAAAGATGAGTGAGGCAACAACCCATCAAGGGCTTTGGTGCCAACTGAGGCATTGGACATGTCCTACCTGTGATTGGGGACCTAAAAGGGATTGAGTTGGGCTGTAGCTCCAGAGAAGAGTTAGGGGAGGCAAGGAGACAGAAAAGTCTAGGTGAGGAGACTAATGGATGTCAAGGAGGGACATTTATGTAGAAGAATAGGAAGGCTACAGAAGCTGGCTGACTGAAGGGCAGAGGGAGAGGCTGGAGTCTAGACCATTCATTCATTGAGAGGCATATGGTGCAATTGATTGTCCCAGGAAACTCCCCTGTTGCATTTCTGATTTCCACCAGCAATACAATCACTCTTTCTCTTTGAGCATCAAAGTCCCAGGCATTCTCTTAGATGGTGAGAATCCAAGTGTGTTACCCAATCCACTCTATGTCATGCCTTGACCTAGCCACCACATTGTGAAACCAGAAATTGCTTGTGGAAGGAGTAAACAAACTAGTGCTTAACTTTGTAGTGATTTCCTTGACTTGATTCAATAGCTTAGGTCACTGACATTTCACTAACAGGATTTCATGCGTGCTAAGAACAGAAGTAGGAGTTAGGAGCTACTTCTGGGAGAGAGATAAGCTTTGTCAAAGATCAGGGGCAGAATGTGAAGCAAGACTTGTGGGGTAGAAGCATACATGACCTAAAAGGAAGGGGATTGGATTGACTCATATCAGAACACCCTGTTCCTAGCAAGGGCTCAGTGACAAATGCCTGCCCAGCTGAAAACAGGATTTGATACCATTTTTCATGTTGTTTTCCTCATATTCGCACGTTGGTCCAGGAACTGCATTTGGAAGCATTTTGCCATGAAGGAGTTGAAGGTGGCTGTGGCCTTGGCCCTGCTTCACTTTGAGCTGGCGACAGATCCTCTCCAAGTCCCCATCCCCATATCAAAAATTGTGTTCTATTCAAAGAATGGGATCCACCTACTACTCAGAAAACTCCTCTAGTCCTTGTTGGGACAAGGGCAAGTTCTGCGGAACTCCTTCTTGCCCTTCCCTGTCTATCTCCCCAATTCCAGCTTTCCATCTGCACACCTGCCCTTCCACTTGATGTCCTCTCTTGGGTTCTCTGCCTATCTGCTTCTTTCTCTGTATTTTTCACTTTTTGCCTGCTGTCCTTCTCTGAATTAGTCTCCTTTAGCTGCTATAATAATTTACCACAGCCTCAGTGACTTAGAATACCACAGATTTCTTCGTTTAGAGTTCTGGAGTCAGAAGTCTGACACAGATTTCACTGGAACACAACCGAGGTGTGGGCAGGGCCACCCAACCTCCAGGGCTCTAGGGGAGATTCCCTGTCTTTGTCTTTCCAGAATCTAGAGCTGCATTTTTATATCTTTGGCTCCTGGAGCCATCCAGAATATTCAAATCCAGCAACATCGTCAAATGTCTCTGTTTCTATCTTCACATTGCCTTCTCTTCTATGAGGCCACACAGATGAAACAGGACATAGTAACCTGGCAGGGAATAGATCGTGGACATTCTTCAGCCTAATTGGTCCCCATGTGACTATCATCAGACTGCATTCCCAGTGGCCTTCATGTGTTTCCTACCCATTTGTCATCTCCACACCCTTTCCTTCTTTCTTCCTCCATGGAATAAAGTTTACAACGTCATGTGATGTGTCTGTCTTTTCTTTATGTCCTTTGTTTTCCCTTTCCTGCCACATTTGGTACCTATGTTGTTGATGGTCCCCTGACCCTGAGCTCTGTATTCCCTTTCTATTCCTCCATTAGCGTCTCAACTCAGCCCTGTTCTCTTGCTGGTTCTGAACATAGGTCCTCCTCCTGTTCCTATGTCATTCCTAGATCAGGGTCCTGAATGCCATGGACAGACTTCCTGGCACACCTCCTGTTGTAGTGGGATGCATTTATTTGCCTTCCTAATCTGGGGAAGTATCTCTGATTCCTCATGTGGCCCCAGCCTAAGATTCTACCCCAAATTCCTTCTTTGCATCTTGAACCTGGCTCAAGGCCTCATTTAGGCACCAACTTTCCAGAAATCTCCTGTCTGTCATTCTACCACCTCTCCAGCCAGAGCCCATACACCCAGAGCATGGGGTGACTGTGACACATTTTCAATGGCATGAGTGCCACAGATACCCATCTTAAAAGGTAATAAAACTTACCTGTTAAGTCATACTCCATATTATTTTACCTTGGAAGTGGTTACCTGGGTGCTTGGTTAGAAATGTATTGCTCTGTACATCTTTTTTTTATTTTATTTTTTGCTTTAGGAAATATGCTATTTTCCAAAAGCACATACATATAGTTAAACAAAGACAGCCATCTCATTTAAGGGGCAAACCTTAAAAGCCATTCTTCTATCATGTGCTGAATGCCTGGTCATAACCATGAATCCCATGGAACAGCTTGCATTGCATTTGCTGTATTACCCAGGCTGGAATGTAAGTTTCTGCCACATTTTAGAAAGATTACAAATTATGGGAGAGAAAAAAAGCAAGATCCTAGAAGCAAATAGGTGCTCACCACATTTGTTAAATGAATGAGTCAGCTCTAGACTACATGTATGATAAGCATTTATAGATATGCATATTTCTATGGCACTGCCCTCACAGTGACTGTGTATGTGGGTATCTACTCCCCATCTATAATACAAGCCTCCCAAAGATAGGAAGCCACAGCTGCTCCACAGTCCAGCCTGGAGGGCACCATGTCCAGGAGAGGCCACAACTTGAGCTACCTTGGCCCTACTCTTGGCGGAACTACTTCTCAGAGCCTGAGCCCAGTGGCTTCAGATGAAGGTGGATGCCATTCTTGGAGCGCAGGATCAGCTGGAGCAATTTGATGGGTGGCTGCAAGGGGTCCACGGCGAACTCAAAGCGGAGCAAGCAGAGGGCTGCAACCACCTTAATCTCGTTCATAGCAAACTGCTGCCCAATGCAGTTTCTGCAATGAGCACATAAAGAGGCATCAAGCTGTGACGTATCCGGAGTGATGAAATCCAGTGTGCTCATACAATATTTTTGTATGAATCATTAGCTGGACTCAAGAAACAGAGCTTGAAAACATAGTATGGTCCCAGACTAAGGATATCCACATTGGAGGGTCTCTCTTGGAATGACTTGCCCACACTACCACCTGCTAAGGATATGAATTATATTGATGGCAAGAAGAAGGTTCCTGGAACTTAGCCAACATTAGAATCACCCAGTTCCCCAAAGTGATGACTCGCCCACAACATTGTCCATCCTCCCCTCCCTAGTCCTGAGGACATGGAAATTCTAGCATCTCCTTACCTTGGCCCAGCAGAGAAAGGCATGAAGGCGAAAGAGTGCCGTCCAGTTACATTCTCAGGGGAAAAGCGCAGGGGGTCAAATACCTGAGGGGATAGACCTTGCTTAAATACCTACCAGGTCCAGGTGCTGGATGACCCCCATAGCCTCCCACCCATTTGACCTCTGAGCCCAGAAATGAGGTACCTCAGGATCGGGCCACACTGTGCTGTTCCTATGGAGGGCATAGATGTGCAGAGAGACCAGGCTGCCTGTGGGCAGAGTAGAGGGCAGGTGACCAGATGGTCCTGGAACAACCAGTCCCACCTCCTCACAGTACCCAAATCCCTTCACATCTGCCTAACTAGGCATCAACCCCTACCTCAGCTTTGCTAGTGACAGAAGGTTCATGACAACACTCAGCGCATCAATGTGCTTATGATCATTATCATACCTATTTCCTGTAACATCAGCACTGAGCACAGCACCTGACATGGACTTTTGGGGAAAGGAATAAAAAGGACTAACCCACCCCAACAGAAGCAGGACAGGCAAAGACTCTTACACACTTTCTGCTATGTGAATGGGACCTATTGAAGATGTTCAAGGCACTACCTGAAATTATACTTGTAAGGAAGGTATTCTCCTCACAGAAGAGGAAAAGGGGGCTTAGAAGTAGAGAAATTTACTCATGTTATAGAGCCAGGGTTGGAACAAAGCATGAGTTCTCTGCCATTGTTGTGAAGAATGAGCCAAAGGCACAGTAGCGTGAGTTTCAGAAAAGCATCCTCAAGGACTCCAGTTCCAGCCCTAAATTCATGCCATCTCACCTGCAGGTAGAGAGCGGCCATCCACAAAGCTGACAGGCTTGCTGAGCTGGCGGTACACCTGGGGCACAGGTGGGTAGAGGCGGAGGCTCTCCTTGATGCACATGGTCAAGTAGGTCATCTTGCTCAGATCATCCCTACCGGCAACACAACCAGTCTTTTCTGGAGATGGGGAGCCACAGGGTCCTGCGGGAAGGCAGGATCCAGCCCCAACTGCCCCCCTTCACAACCATGACAACCCCAAGTCTCAGAGAAACATAAGTGCACCAAGTGGTCGGGCCACACTGCACATGAGTGGCCACTCCACATTTTTCTATCCCTCCCTTATCTTCACTGCTGGGAAGGGAAAGCCAAGGACACTAGCGGTGTGTGTGCACCCAGTCATCAAAGACAAGGTCACTCCTGTGTCTCTCAGAGCCCCACAGAAGCCCCACAAGAGATAGTTGTTTGGGTTCTGCTTGGATTCCCCTTGGGAACTGGAATGGAAAGGAATAGAGGCTAATATTCATTGGTTGAATGAAGTAATAAATGCAGTAACAATGACTATATATATATATATATATATATATATATATATATATATTTCTCTTTTCCCTTTTGCCAGTAAGAAGCTCAGCCACAAATGTGAAGTCCAAATATAACTACTATGCAATACCTTATTACATAACCCCTAAGTTTTTGCCTCCAGTCCTCATTTTTCATTTGTGTTTTACTATTTTATTGAATAATTATCTTTTTGAGTTGCTTCAAGTTCTAGATAGAATGAAGGAAAATAAAATAAATATTTCAACTCCCTCCCTCCAGGCTGTCTTCACATAGTTTCCCAACCTAGAATGCCTAGTTCTCTCCCTTTGCAGGAGTTTCACTCCTCCTTAGAAAGACAACTTAAGCCCCACCCCTTCAGATTTCTTTGACTGTAATATGGGGTCATTCATTCTTTGGTTTTCTCTAGCTTTTTAATTATGTGAGTTTGTTTCTCTAAAATGCCCAAGGACAACAAATTGAATCTTCTTCCTTCTCTTCTAATCCACTTTCTCAACAGCATTTGACATGTGGCTGGACACCCTGGAAGATTTCCAACATCCAACCAATAAAAATAAGTAATGGAGACTTCATTCTCTAAATCTTAGACCTTGGAATTGTGTGTCTCCCTCAAATGAATCTAAAGTTTCTCTCATCAGCTGAGCATTTTCTGCACCCCAGCCTAATGCCTAGCCCAGGTAATGACAAGAGGGGAGAAGGCAGGAATAGCGGGATGTGGAGGCAGAAGGGTGAGAGGTTCCCAGAGAGCCTGCAGCAAAGAAAGATTACCATCAATAGTATTGTGTTAGTGAGTTCAACTTGAACCAGAAGACAGAATAATTCCAAGTTTCTGGCTGATGGAGTTTAGAAAACAGCATTCTCTCCTTCACCATAGGTGTTCGGAGGCTGTACATGACTATCCAAAGGCAGGTGAGAAGCGATCAGCTCCCTTGGTTTGCCCAACTCTGTTCATCCTCAATTTTTCTCTCCAGGAACTCAGAAAGGTAGTCGGGTTCTACCATCAGAATCATCACATAAGAAATTAGCCTCCTATTGACAACCTTCTCTACATTACTCACATCGGAAAAACTGCAATTGGAGAAGAGGCTCTGTGGAGCATCCATGCATTGCAGGTGACAGGACAGGTGCTGCTGCCTTCACCTGGTTTTCAGGATGGCTCTGTGTCATCTATGATGACACCAGACAGCACAGACACAGCCTGCAATTGAGCAGGACAGACTGGGATTCCCTGCAAACTCACTCACCACTGGAAGGAGTCCCTGTCTCCAATGATCTCACGGGCTTCTTCCCGACAGCGATCCTGGTGTTCTGGGTACAGGGCCATGCAGTAGAGAAACCAGGAGATGCCACTGGTGGTGGTGTCATGACCTTCAAACATGAATGTGTCCACTTCAGCCCGGAGGTCTGCATCTGACAGCTTGATCCCATTTTCATCCTGGGTTAAAGTAGGCATAATGGAGCAAACAAAGACATGTAACGTAGGAACCAAGAAATACTCATAACAGCAGCTGTCAAATGAAGGTCTGAGAAAGGTTGTGAAAGCTGTGTTTCTGACTGAAAGTTAGAACCCTCCCTCAGATTTCTATCTGATCTCCCAAAATCATTTGGATGCATCCTATTCCAGGAAGCCTTTCCTGACCCCTCTGGCTAGTGACGAGCAGCCTTACCCAGCCTGGACTGTTGATTCTGCTCATTTGACACATGGAATGCCACTCGACAGAGGAAGAGATCTTGGTCAATATCCACTTCCCTCTTCACTAGCATCTGGAGGGTAGTACCAGGTCTTCCTCATCTTCTGCATCCCTAGCACAGGAACTAACCCATGGCAGGGCTCAGTGAATTTATAGAGTGAGTGAATAAATGAGTGAATGAATGAAGTCTAAGGTTCTAAAATTTTAAGATGCTGAGATTCTTCTGGGTCTTAGAAATCTAGAATTGGTCTTTGGGCCTTCTGGCATGTTATCCAGGATTCCTGCCACTACATCTCCCCCCCAGCCCCCACTGCCTCATCCAGACACATCCTGCACCTTTTCACCTCTGAGCCTTTGTGTGTCATGAGACTAGATCATATTTGCTGGGGAAAGAAGAGGAAAATGCTTAACATCCCCTGCAGCTGTCCATGATCCTTGTCCCAGGAGGATGGTCTGAAGACCCCTCTGAGATCAGTTTTCAGGAGGGGCTGGGCAACTGTGCACTCACCCGAGCCCCCAGGAGAATGTCCAGGAAATCCAGGTACCTCCGGTTCTGAATCTTCTTTTGTTCTTTCTCGTCTTGTAGAGCTGCCTTTCTTTCCCTGATGACTTGATCTGTGTCAAAAGTACAGGATGTTACTGCTAAGGGCTCATTCTTTGCCCCCAGGGAACAGAAGTCCTTCATAAAAAACATCTCAGAGGGGTCCAGAGGAGCTAGCTTAGAACCTAGACTTCCTGTGGGCAGAACATTTGGGAAAGGCCTACCTGTGTGGTCATGTGCCACCTGGCAGGCCCGCAGGAAACGGCGGCCATGTGGAGTAAGCCAGTAGATGAAGTCGTTATGGTACTGTACGGACTCTATGCGCTGCTGCATTAGCAGAGTGAGATTGCTGACTGCCAAGTAGTAGTTATTGTCTCTGCACAAAAGTAGAAGTGGGAAGCACTTAAACATTGACCCATAGCAGAACTCCGGCTGCCCCATTCTAGAAATCCAGCCCCAGCTACAGCACTTTCTCCCTTACTCTCCCTACCATTAAACCTCCCCATTAAAACTTAAATATGTCTCCCCACCATGGGAAAGGCCCACACTCCCTACAAGCAGGGGTTCCCTGGGGCAAGACCCTGTCTTCTCTCAGACCAGGACCCAGGAGTCCTGCCAACTCTCTTCTCTGAGCTGGCCTGTGTTGAGACTATGGACAGCTCCAAGTGCCCTCTGACCTGTGGTTCAGGCCGCTGTTTCCTTTGCCAAAGGTGCACTTCATGAGTGAGTCCAGTGACATGAGGCCCACATCACTGAAGATGTCAAAGCTCTTGTCCTTACGAGCCTTTTCCTCCCACTTGTCCTAGAACCCAGAGAATGGAAGTAATGTGGGGCCAGCAGGCTTTGTGTCCCATCCCTGCCCTCCAAGAATGTGGGGTGGGGCAGGTAGGGCTTCAGGCTCACAGGGCAGGACTAGGAAGCAGGTCTTGCACAGCACACAGACACACAGACTCTTTTCTCCACGTCAGAGCAGCCAATATATAAGAAAATTGAAGGGCCAAGAGGTGGTGAGCTGACCAGCACAGTGAGTTTATAATTCAGGCCAGCAGTAATTATGTGAGGAGTTTCCTAATGGGGAAAGACTACCCTGAATAACCTCTAGGCATTATCCAGACCTGAGAGGCTGAGCCTGACTGGGACCCCTGGCATCCTTTTAGAAATGATTTTTCAGTGGTGTTGCTTTAGGCAGTTGTGGTAGAAAGAGAATGAAAGACACTTTTTAGATATAAATGGATGTCCTCATATTCCCAAATATAGGTACACCCTTATGCTACAGTAGGAGCCTTGTCAGGTCCTATAGAGGCCCTTTGCTCTGGAAGAAATGGCTGGGTCTCCTGATGGACACAGGGGCCAGCGATGCCTGGCCACATGGAACTCCACACCTAGTGAACAGCCAGCGCACAAAAGGAGTCAGGCATAGCAAGGCTTGGCACTGTTCTAGGCAGGAAGCAACTCAGTGCCTCAGCAATTCTCCTCACTGCTCTTCTGCAGGGAGAATTGGGGTGAAGGAGGGGCTGGCCAACAGCACAGCCTCCTAGAGCTTGGCACATGGAGCTCACCAGCATGGTGTTTGTTGAGTCAGCAAACACATTCACATAGGGCTTCAGCACATCATAATGGAAGCCAGGTGTGAGCAGCTTGCGGTGCTGGAACCACTTGGGCCCATCGAGGACCAGCAGGCCTTTCCCTGGGGAAGGTGGGAGGGGCTTGTCAGTGCACATCATTCTGCCCCATCTCTGGCAGCCTGGCTCATCTCCTGACCCAGCTCCACCTTCCAGCTATGCAACCTCTAGTAACACTAGTCATGGGCCCACCACCATACCTTTTTTCAAGCCCTTCCCTGGCCAGCACCATCTATAATATGTCTTAGGATCAACTCTAGTGCCACCCTCTCCAGAGGTTGTTCCTTACACTCAGATTTTCCAGATCCTTCTGCTTGTCCAGGGAAGAAGACACACCCAGAAGGAGAAGGTATCAGAGCCTTACTTCCCTGACTGTCCAGGAACTCTACTGCCTCTTCTCTGTCTTCTCCTCACTGAGCAGATGAGGTTAGGAACTGCACATGGGACCAAATGGTCCCATAGATGACTGAGTAGGGACAGGCAGGGAAGGATCATGATCACCCAGCACCAAGGGCAGGGAAGGTTACCACTTACCAATCCACTGGAGGAAATAGTTATACACATCTGGGGCCTTCGGATCTGTAGGAGACAGAGATTAGGTAAAGCCAGGACTGGGGGATTCCTACAAGAGGCTATTGATAAGCAGGCTATTGATCACCAGATGTAGGGTGCAGGCCCAGGACTTTCCCCACCTGGTTTCCTAAACCCTTGCTGAGAAGGAAGTGCCTCCCCTCTTCCAACAATACTCACCCCCTCGGCTATACACAGCTTTGGCGTAGTCAGGCTCATAGATGTTCAGGAAGCCAAGAAACTGTCCAAACCAGAGTGGGTGGGCGTAGGGGAACTGCTGAGCCCAGGATACCACCTTGTCCAGGCTCCCTGACTTTTGTATCTATAATGATGACAGAAGACCAGACGGTTCAGACACCTGACAATACTAGCCATGCCCTAAGTCCCTGAGCCTGCTCTCTCCTGCCTGTCACTCTGTTCTATCCATCTCTGGGCCCAGGTGCCTTTCCAGACCCAGAGCCACTGCTTTCAGTTCAAGCCACCTATTTGCACCTGGGTTAGCTCAACAACCCCAAATTGGCCAACCTGCCTCCACCTGGTGCCACCACTCCTCTATCTAAATTGTAGCCAAAGAGAGATTTCTTTTCAGCATTGAAGCTTTTCATTAGAAAGATAATACCAGCTTGCTGTGCAAAAAGGAAACCACCTTAATTTCAGCCCTGATAAATCACTTGACACATTTTTGTTGAGACCAACTATTTGCAGGGCATTGCCTAGACATCTCAAGGGAATGAGACAGATATGTCCTGCCCTTTCATTCTATGGGGAAGACTGATAAGAAACAAGTAAACAGTTAAGTAGAATTATTCAGACAATATTAAGTGCCAAGAAGGAAGTAAACACAAGAGAGACTAATAGGGAGATCTGCATGGATAAGAGTGATCCAGATAGCCTCTCTTTGGAGATGACATTTAAGGTGAAACTCAAAGGATGATAAGGAGCTGGTCATGTGAAGAGTAAAGGAAGAGCATTCTAGGCCAAGGGAACAAGTACAGAGACTCTGGGGTGGGAAAAAGTGTGCTGTCTTCCAGGAGCTGCTTTATGATGGAACAGTGACTTGAGATGAGGGTGGAGAGACCATTCAGAGCATGTTGTATAATCTCTGGGAGTTTCTCTAATCACATCTACTCACACAGAGGTGTTTATGTAAAAATAGAGTATACAATAAACACTTTTTCAAACCTGCCCCTTTTTCATTTAACATATCTTGTCTTTCTTTTCAAACTAGTGTAATTACCCACAATATTTTTCACAATTATATAGTATTGTACTATAAGAATGTATCATTATGTATTTATCAATTTCTTTCTATTTTGAGAGTTTTTTTCAGACCCTTCAGTACCTTGGCCACGGGCCTCAGAATAAAGTCTGAGCTTCATTATTTGTGAGAAGGCATAGATAATCTTTTTTAAGCCCTTGCTGTGTGCCAGGCCTTCTTCCACACACCTTGCATCTTGATCTCATCCAATCCTTACAAGTCACCCTAGCTGTTTTTGCTCAGTGGATAGAGCATTGGCCTGCATGTGAATTGAAGGGTCCCAGATTCTATTCTGGTCAAGAGTGCATGCCTGGGTTGTGGGCTTGATCCCCAGTAGGGGATGTATAAGAGGCAGCCAATCAATGGTTTTTCTCTCATCATTGATGTTTCTCTCTCTCTCTCTCTCTCTCTCTCTCTCTATATATATATATATATATATATATATATATATATATATATATATATATATATATAGAGAGAGAGAGAGAGAGAGAGAGAGAGAGGAAACTAAGATAGCGGCATAGATAAATACCTAAACTGCTGCCTCGCACAACAATTTCAAAACTATAATTAAAAGACAAAACGAACATCATCCAGAACCACAGGAAAGCTGGCTGAGTGGAAATTCTACTACTAAAAGGAAAGAGGAAAGCACATGGAGAATCAGAGGAGCTGCAAAAGGCTGAGGTATGGAGATACACACACTGGGGGGGAGCTGAATGCCTCGCTGGCTTTCTCTAGTGGGAAGGAGACAAAAACTCCCAACTGCGCTGAACCCCAGTTCTGACTGCACTGAACCCCAGTTCTGGGTGAGACCTTGGGGACCCAGGCTTATACAGGGGGAATCTGGACTACCAGAGAGAAACTCAGGGGAGCTGCGAAAGGCAGAGGTCTGGAGGCACATGCACAGGTGTGCAAAGAGAGGACTGACTGCTGAGTGTGCCACTGGCTTTTTCTAGAAAGAGGGAAATGTAAGTTCCCCACTGTGCTGAAATCCAGTTCTGGATGAGAATCTGGGAATCCAGATTCATTGGGGGAGAAACTGGACTGTCTGGCAGTGGGCGAAACTTGAGGGCGGCTTACTCTTAGAAGTGCTTGCAGCAATTACCAAGGGACACTGAGACCCAAGGGCCTCATAGGGCAGGGATGACTGGAAGCCAAGACTGTCTGCTCAGCCCTGAGACTCTGCCCCATCCAAGCTGAGCAATTTTGCAAGACTTGTCTCATAAGACTGTTTCCAGCACAGAAGTTCTCCCTGGGTAGACATAGCTGATTCTCACAGCCAACTGGCCTGAAAGTCAATTCCTCCCAGTGATACCAACAACAATCAAGATGTACAACAAGGTTGTACACACAATCCACAAAGGGGGTGCACCAAGAGTGCCACCTCAGGTAACTGGGGAGGCTGAGCCACTGGGCCATATAGGAAACCTAGCACATAAAGCTACCCTACCAACTTAGGGAAGCAGCGAAAATGTGGAGACAAAGAAACAGATCACAAACTAAAGAAATTAGAAAAACAAATTATTGGATATAGAGCTCAAAACCATGATTATTAGATTTTTCAAGAATTTCCTAGCAAGACCCTTGAGGATATAAAAAAGAACCAGCTAGAAATTAAACATACACTGACTGAAATAAAAAATATTATACGGAGACCCAACAGCAGACTAGAAGAATGCAAAAATCAAGTCAAAGATTTGAAATACAAAAAAAGCAAAAAACACTCAACCAGAAAAGAAAAAAGAATCCAAAAATATGAAGATAGTGTAAGAAGCCTCTGGGACAACCTCAAGCATACCAACATCAGAATAATGGGGTGCCAGAAGAAGACAGAGAGCAAGATACTGAAAACCTATTTGAAGAAATAATGACAGAAACTTCCCCGACCTGGTGAAAGAAGTAAACTTACAAGTCCATGAAGTGCAGAGAATTTCAAACAAAAGGAATTCAAAGAGGACCACATCAAGACACATCATAATTAAAATGCCAAGAGCAAAAGACAAAGAGAGAATATTAAAAGCAGCAAGAGAAAAATAGTTAATTACCTACAAGGGAGCACCCATAAGACTGTCAGCTGATTTCTCAATAGAAACTATGTGGGCCAGGCAGGAGTGGCAAGAAATATTCAAAATGATGAATAGCAAGAACCTACAACAAAGATTACTCTACTCAGAAAACTATTATTCAGAATTGAAGGTCAGATAAAGAGCTTCACAGATAAGAAAAAGCTAAAGGAGTTCATTACCACAAACCAGTATTATATGAAATGCTGAAAGGTATTCTTTAAGAAGAGGAAGAAGAAGAAAAAAGTAAAAATAAAAATTATGAACAACAAATACATATCTATCAACAAGTGAACCTAAAAATCAAGTGAATTAAAAATCTGATGAACAGGATAAACTGGTGAATATAATAGAATCAGGGGCATAGAAAGGGAGTGGACTGAAAATTCTCAGGGGGAAAGCAGTGTGGGTAGTAGAGAGAAGAGACTGGACAAAAATCATACACCTATATATGAGGACAGTGGAGGGAGATAAGGGCAAAGGGTGAAGTGGGAACTGGGTGGGGGGGGGGGGCTATGGGGGGGAAAGAGGAACAATTGTAATAATCTGAATAATAAAGATTTATTAAATTTTTACATATATATATTTGGGAAGCCCCATTTTAGAGAAGAGGAGCCTAAGGAATAGAGAGATCTGAGGTTGCTTGTCAAGGACCACACTGCATGATTTCACAAATGTCAAAGCACTCCTATAAGCTAAGTATTGTCATCCCCATTTTACAGATGAGGAGAGCAAGATTTAGAGAGCCTAAAAAAACTTGCCCAAGTTCACATATATTAAAAAATAGGGGAAATCTATATTCAAACCCAGGTCTGTCAAGCTCCAAAGATTGCTGGCCAGAGAGTCAACTTTCCTGGTTCACATCTCTTCTTCCTTACAACCTGTGCCGAGTCCAATGTAATCTCCCCATATATCTTCTCCCTCGTTGCCTCTGAACTTACCACTGTGAGTTTAACTGGGCAGTGGGGTGTAAGCGTTTTCAGTGCCCTGGTGCACACAGTGTCAAAGAGTTTATCACTACATCATCTCCATTTACCCGCAAGAGGGAACTCTGGTGTCCCTGACCTCTTTTCTGCCTCCTTCCTGGTTGGTGCTCCTGGATGTGCCCCCTTCCTCCTGTGTTTCTCTTATTTTTCCATCTGAACTCCTGTGTTTTCATTGCCAACTTACTTTCTGATCACCCTGACTGCTTCCCCTTCTCTTCATCCCTTCCAGGTTCAGGGAACCCAAGTGGACAGGGGCAGGGAGGAGCTTAAGTCACAAAGAAGCCAGATTCACAGGATCCCAGAGGTGGAAGGAGCCCTAGGCTGATCTGGTTCATCTCAGCTCCACTGCTTCCCACATCAGCCATCCATGTGCCCCTTTGCAATATCTCCACCGGGGACAGGAGAATGTGAACTCCTGCTGACCATGTCCACAGCTTGAACCAGTCCTTTGGCTTTTTATGTCCAGCTTTCTCCTATGTACTTCTGTCTGCCTCATAAACCTCTTGGCCCCACTACTGGAGCTACATCCCCATCAAAAGGGCTAGGGTGTCCTTTCTCAGAGGATGGGGTGAGACAGGGCATGCCTGGCCAGCTTCTCTAAGTTACACAACTGGTCACCTGCCCTCTGTTCTGTCCATAGGTAGTCTGGTCTCTCTGCTCATCTATGCCCTCCATAGGTACAGCACAGTGTGACCCAACACTGAGGTACTTTAGTCCTGAGCCCAGTGGTGAATTGAGGTGAAAGAATGTGGGGGGTCACCCACCCCCTGGACCTGGCAAGTTTTTAAGTAAGGCTTGTCCCTTCAGGCCTTTGATCCCTTGCATATTTCCCTGAGAATGTGACTGGATGCCACTCCTTCGCTTTTATGCCCTCCTCTGCTGGGCCCAGGTAAGGAGAGGCCCGACATCTCCATGCAGTCTCAGGGGAGTGCCTTTCCTGGGCTGAGAGCTAGCATTTCTTTTCCCAACCCCAATATGCAGATCAGATTTGTGGGTCCCTCCTAGGATCCCTAACATTAGGCTGATAATATGGCTGAGCATCCATTATGTACAAAGCCCTCCCTGGGCCCCAAGGGGGAATGAACAGGACTCTAGAAGAATAGGGCATAACCCCACCACAAGGGAATACATTTTGAGAATTGAGGAAGATGACAAGTAGATGCTTCGAGACCTCCAGACTATAACTGAAGAACAGAAGGTAGAAGTTAATTATGACAGATAGCTCTTCCCTGCACCAGGCCCTTCCTTCCATCATTAGTCCTCCTCCTCCCTTCCTACTCCCACCATCACTAGGTCTAGGAATCAAACCTAGACATAATTTTTTATGGCCTGATTATGTGCTGAATGAAAAGGCAGGAATCTGGGGTCCAGCCTTGACTCAATTTCTGAGCTACAACATGGACATGGGCAAATTCCTTCAAATTCCTTTATGAAACTCAATTTTCTACTTTTTACATTATGAAAAATTATCCCTCCCCTCCCCCTTTCTCAAGCTCCAATTTGAATCCAAACAGACCAGAGGTGCCAGGTCCCAGGAGAATGCAAAGGAATTAGATCTGCCATGGTTCCCCAGGAAACCTTAATAGTGTTAGAAAACAACCACCCCTCCCTGTTCTTCCTGGCGCCAAGACCTTTCACCTATTTGTGTAAGAGTCAAGAAGTCAGACCTAAGCCATGTTCCAGGCCTTCTATGCATTCTCAAGTTGGGTCATGAAGGAATTTGGGGAGAAGAGAGAGCCAGATCTTATATGGGAGTAGGAAAGCAAAGTCCCTCTTCTAGAAAACCCAGCTTGATAAAGAAAGGGGAAGTGGAGGAGATATGAGAGAAAGAGGATTGAAGGTCTCCCAAATGCCTCTCAGACCACCATTAGGGTTAGACCACAATCTTTCCATTATTTCCTTCTGTAGTTAGCAAAGTCTCTTTCAAACCCATCCTGGTTCCTCCACTTGTCTTTTCCATCACTCTTTCTCCTCTATAGATACTCCTTCCTACTCTCCAACATTCACTGTTCATTCAGTAATGCTTACTCTGAGCCAGGCTTTGTGCTAGTCCCAGAGGGAACAGGGATGAATCAGACCAGATCTCTATCCTCTAGGGATCAGTCTCATGGGGAAGATGAACAAATAAACAGAAGATGACAACCCAATGAGACAAGTGTTGAGATACAGAGCATGGGCTGTTGTAAACTCCTGGTTAGGCACCCTACCCGGCCTGGGGCAGGAGAAGCTCTAGAGTCAATTTCCCCTCTAGACAGTAAGCTTCTTGAAAGCAAGGCCTGGGTCTGATTCATCTCTCTGATGCATCCTTTCCTTTCTGGGTGTTTCCAAGGTGCATTTAGATTACTAGGCCATCCTGAGAGAGGAGTTATTTATAGGGGCAAAAAAATAAACCTGAGCAATCCTCACTTAAAAGTCACTTAAAAGTCATTCCCAGCATCAAACATGGAGGAGAGGCAAATCCCCAGACTGAGAATAGGGGAAGGTACTCAGGAAGTAGAAGAAATAATTATGCCTCTCTCTGAGTCTTAAACTCTGGCATTTATACCTGGGCTCCCAAACCCAGCTACAGAGCAAAACACTCATGAAGATTTTTAAATTCCGGCTCGTACTTGCAATATGCTCATTAAGATCTCCGGGAACTGGGAGTTTGCTTCTCCCAGTTGATTCCAGTGCAAGTGTTCCTTGTTTTGTGTTCAAAAGTCTCTGATCTAGTTTCCATCTACATAGGGAGCCAAGAGGTGTTCCTGACAATGAGTGTTAAGGTGATCTCCTCACCCTGAGGTAATTGGGGAGGGCAAGTCATGATCTGAAACCAGGAAGATGCCACTGCTCCTGAACCAGCCTATAGGTGTGGCCAGGAGAGCCCCATATTTGAGGGCACCAATGGCTTAGATGCCCTGAGAGGTCTCTCAGGTAATAGCACTCATTTTTGCCTTCACTTTAACTTTCTGCCTTAAAAATTGAAATCTTTATACTGCACAGAACAAAGAGGACACTGGCTAAACTTTAAATGAGATTGCCTAATTTTATGATTATCCAGGGTTTTTGCACTAATACTGTAAACAAGCCTTTATCAGAGCTCTTTCTGAACCTTGGGCGTCAGAATGATGGAAAGGAGTTTTTGGCCTGCCTGGTACCCAATTTTAAAGTGCCTCCACTGGAGTGGCTTAGCAGTTTAGTGTCTACCTATGGACCAGGACAGGTGTCGGCAACCTACGGCTCCAGAGCCTCATGCGGCTCTTTTGAAGCTTTACCGCAACTCCGACAACTTGCAAGCCTGTGTGAAAATGAAAGTAACATCTTACAGCCCTGATGTGCTGACACTGTGCACTGAGGTTCAGGAGCAAAAATCCTATTAACCAGGTAAATTAAATATTTTAATTAGTTATTAATTTGCAAAAATATATTTTACATTGTTAAGTGAAAAAGTCCTTTTTTTCTTCAGATTGACAGCTAACTGCACGATCCGGTATATAGCATTAAGGTAAGAAACAATGTATGCAGTGTTATATTTGTTTTAAATGTCGCAATGGTTTTGCGGCTCCCAGGGTTTTTTTTCCTTTGGAAACGGGTCCAAGTGGCTCTTTATGTCTTAAAGGTTGCAGACCCCTGGACCAGGAGATCACTGTTCAATTCCCTGTCAGGGCACATGCTCAAATGGGAAACTAGACCAGCTCAATCCCCAGTGGGGGGCATGCAGGAGACAGCTGATTAATGATTCTCTCTCATCATTGATGTGTCTATCTCTCTATCCTTCCCCATCTCTGAAATCAATAAAAATACATAGGTATTTTTTTAAGTGCCCTGCCCAGGCCAGCTCATAAGGCAGGATCTGGTGGAAAAGCTGAATGGGAACCAAGGCTCCCTTCCAGAATATCATTTCCCTGCCAACTAGGTCTCCCACCAAGAGATTGGATTGGATTCTCTAAAGGAAAAAGGGGCCATTTTCCTTCTCTACTCCTCCCTCCTCATATCCCCCACGTACCTCAAGGGCATGCCCAAAGAGCCAGTGGGTGGGGGGTCCTGGGAAGCTGTCCATCGCCCTGGCCAAGAACTGCCGCCGCACCAGCAGATGGATGAACTTGAGGAGACATAAGACCAAGATCAGTCCCAAAGCCCACAGGCCCAGGCGGGAAAGGCTCAAGGCAGGCACCATGGCTGAAGTTGCAGCCACCAGTCTCCTCCCACTGCCCTCAGGTTCCCTTATACTCTAGACCTAGGCAGCTTGCCAGTTCCTTCCCACAGCCCTGCCCACAGCAGCCCAGAATGGGCAGAGCTTCATAAGGCGGAGACAGCAGCCCCAAAAGTTACAGACAACAGAAGAGATAGTTTGCCTGGCCAACTATTAGGTCTAGTAATAATTAATGTCGTTTTCTAATACCTTTTTTAAATCGAATTTATTTAAACAATACAACAAAATTTAATCAACAATATAGTTACTGTTGTTTTCTACTACTTGTGCCCAACGCTCAGGAAGCATTTTAATCCCTCTGTTGTAAAATTCTTGTGATTTTGATGCAAAAAATTCGGTCAATGCATTTTTGAGGCATTCTTCATTATTAAATTTTTTCCAAGAAGAAAGTTTTGCAAAGAACGAAACAAATGGTAATCGGAAGGGGCAATATCAGGAGAATATGCAGGTTGAGGGAGAACTTCCCATTCCAACTGGCGCAGTTTTTCAGCAGTGATTCTTGCAGTATGCGGTCGTGCGTTATCGTGGTGAAGAATTACGCCCTTCCGATTAATCAGCGCGGGTTCTTTTTCTCTTAAAGCTTGGGCTAACCTTTCCAATTGGGCACTATACACTGCACTTGTAATGGTTTGGTTAGATGGTAAAAGTTCATAATGAAGAATTCCTTTAAAATTCCACCAAACACACAACATCACTTTTTTTGCATGCAAGTCAGGTTTTGGTGTGGGCTGCGAAGCCTCATTTTTGTCTAACCATTGAGGCCGCCTTTTCAAATTAACATACAGCACCCATTTTTCATCTCCGGTAACAATTTGCTCTAAAAACAGCAAACGGTTTTGACGAGAGAGGAACGAACTGCAAATTGTGACTCTTTGATTACGGTTGTTGTCGGTCAACTCATGAGGAACCCATTTTCCAAACTTTTGGACTTTGCCAAGTGCACGCATTTGATTGGAAATTGTTTTTTGTGAACAATTTAAAGTTGTCGCAAGCTCTTGTTGGGTAATTTGAGGATTTTGCACCAAAAGAGCTTGAAGAGCTTCTTGATCAAAATTGGACACACGGCCTCGACCACTCTTGTCATCTAACGAAAAATTTCCCTCGCGAAATTTCTCAAACCAACGCTGGCATTTTCTGGCGCTAACTGCATCTTGACCAAGAGCACTACAGATGTTTTTTGCAGCCTCACTTGCTTTTCTTCCTAATTGGAACTCGTAAAGCATGCAGTGCCGAATATGCTCTTCATCCGCCATCTTCTTAGCCCTAGTTTTGCAACAAAAACCAAACCAAACACAAACTTTTTCAAGCAAAACTTGTTAATTGCACTTCACACGTTCTGTAGATACCACGTGTTTGAAGGTTATATCAATACAAGTCAACGCCAAGCAAGATTTTAAACGAATCTTTAAAAACGACATTAATTATTACTAGACCCGATAGTTCCAAAGGGCTGAAGAGAAACAGATGGTGGATTTCAAAGAGATTAGACAATGATTATCCTGCCTTGGAGGAGCAAACAGAAAGCAATTCTTTCTATAATCATTGCCATAAAGACTTCCTTTTCCTATAAGCACCTTGTTGTCTCAGGTGCTTTCTACCACTATCTCATTTAACCCAAACAAGGAGGTCACAGGTACTACTCTTTATACCCATATCCCAGATAATGAACCTGAGGCTCAGCTTGCCTGTGCTTTCCACTGTCTTTTTCCATATGGGCACTGGGAGGGCTTGCATTTATGCCAGGCTCATGATGCTTTGAGTCTCTTTTTAATGAGGTACTTCAGGAACAAGGTTCTAGCCTCAGAAGAGAGATTCTAGGTCAGAAAAGGGCCAACTTCACCCCAAGATCATAGTACAAATTTGACCCTAAAGAACATAATATTACCTTCAGGATGATGAGGAGAATCATCAAATTCAATCCCTCCTGGATTGATGAAGGGAGCCACTTTGGCCCAGAGACAGGAAGGAAATTGTCCAAAGCCTCACAGCAAGGCAATTGTAGCTCTCAACTGCCCAGCCCAGAGTTCTGTTAAAGAATAAGGTTGACCCAGGTCCCAGCTTTGTCTGGGGAGAGTTTGCTATTTCTTCCTCCAGTCTTGGGTTGTAACAGTCAGGCCCCACAAGAAACAATTCACTGTATATGTTTCAGATGAAAAGACATGGATGCAGGGCTTCTTTCAGTGGGATAGGCAGAGTTAAGGAATCAAACACGGTAGGATGTGGCTCCCAGAGACTAGCAGCAGCAGGAAACCAGAGCCTGAGGGAGTTAGAATGCAGAAATCAACCTTCCAGCAAAGCAAAAGAGCAAAGTCTGGGCCTGTCATGGAGCAGCAGTGGGCAAACTAGTAAACAGGTGAACCTGGAACTCTGATTCCAGAACTCAGATCACAGGTTCTGACTCAGAGAATGATACAATGTCAACTCCACCCCTGGCGAGACATCCTATCTAGTCCTACTCATAGGCAGAGAGAAAGCAAGATGACATACAATAAGAAGAAACCATAGGGAGTTCCTGAAATTCCACATTTGTGCTTCATTTAATTAGATCAGGACATGGAGTGCTCTTTTAAAATGGAAGTCATATGGTCAAAGAGTAGTGGTGCATGAAGAGCTACCAGAAGACTTACATAGTTTATGGTGAATTTGTTTATTGTATGATCTCAGCCTGATGGTATAATGGAGTGTTTGAGGAGATCCTGAGGGAGCTCCCATCTCTTGAAAAACTCATGGTTCCTGGTAAGAACCATTTAGGATGCACCTGGGAAGTGAATAGGACTAGCCTAGAAGATGATAAGTGGGTATAGTGGATATTTATTGATTGACTCCCAGTATCCATTCCCTGGTTCCCCCTTTCCAAGCAGTACCATGAATTTATTGCCTTTGGGGTGCAGTGGGATTCACCCATATTTCTTTATGAAAGTCTACATTCACATTGTCTGTGTCAAGGATAGGCACTCGACCAAAGTCAGTCAATCAGGGCTAATGACACTCGGTTTTGGTCTATAATTTAAGCTCTCTGTAAACAGACTCTCTGATATTGGATTTGAACCTGGAAGCATGTGCTCTCAGGAGTAATCAATGTGAGGAGATCCTGACAAGAAAATACTCAATGCTGCCCAGCTGGTGTGGCTCAATGGTTGAGCTTCAACCTATGAACCAGGAGGTAATGATTCAATTCCCAGTCAGGACTCAAGCCTAGGTTACAGGCTCAATTCCCAGTGTGGGCATGCAGGAGGCAACCCATCAATGACTCTCTCTCATCATAGATGTTCTGTCTCTCTCCTTCTTCCTTCCTCTCTGAAATCAATAAAAAAAAATATATTTTTTAAAGATACTCAATGCCAAAAGAACAAAGCTGAGAAATATACAGAGAAAAACTAAATACTAGTCACATTGTTTGAACTTCTGGATCAAGCTTCACCTATAGCTAGGAGTGCCTTTGGATCTTTACATTATGTGAGCCAATAAATCTACTTTATTACTTAAATTCCATTTGAGTTGGGGGTTTTTGTTACTTGAATCCAAAGGTTTCCTAGGTAGTATACTGGGGAAATCCCAGGAAAGTAGCAAAGACTTGGTTAAATTGGGCTGAAACATATTTAGGGGGCTAGCCTGTGACAAACTGAATGGAATTAACATGGAAAGGGTTAAGTGGGATGAACCTGGTATGCTTGAAGTGGTGGAAGTACTGAGAGGGCTCACAGAGGAATTCTAAATGAGATTGCCCTGCCCAAGCCTCCCATAAGAGGGCAAGAAATAATCTGATTATGGTGAAAGTGAAGGGCATGGTTTGGAAAAGCCACTACCTGAGTATGAGGTATGAAGCAGAAACATAAACAAAGGAGCATCTTAGGAAACTGGAGTGTCAAGAGCAGAGTGAACACGAAGCCTCTAACAGAGGAGTAAGGAGGTTTGACTTTTTTGTGCTGCAGGGAACCACAGAGGAGTCTTAAACAGAGAAACAAGGGTGTTCAGATCATGTTCCAGGATGATCCCCACTCTGTGTGGGTGCAGTCAGTATCCCTGAGCTAGCCCAGTGTGGAAGCGGCCTAGAGCCTCAGTTGTCAAGCAGGAAGAGGAAGTCAGAGGGAGAACCAGCAGGGTAGATGTTGATTATGACCTTAGAGGTCTTACATACCTTCTCCTGCCAACAATTTGGTCCAGCACTCACAGTCTATTTGTCACACATCCTGCTCTCCACTCACTGGCTGAAATCAGACAAGACACTAGCATGCAGTGAACCCATGATCAAGTACATACATGAGAGAATGGACCACCTTCAGGGATCTGCAGGTACTGAGTTTTGTGTGAGTTGAGAGAGTGCTGGCAATGTGCACCTACCACACTCAGGGAGATGTCATGTTCCGATCTTCTCCACTTCTCTGGCACAGTAGGCACTTATAGGTGTGGGAAGAAGAAAGTGAGGAAAGGTTGTCTGGAAAATGCAAAATATTTTAGAAATATGTGCCTTTCTGGACACCTTTTGTGCTTGGGTTCCAGTAGCTGCTGCCTGGTGGGGAGTTCAAAGTTCACCTCAACCTGACCCCTTACTTGCCCCAGCTCACTGAGCACTAACCACAATAGCAATGAAAACTACCCTTCAGCCCTGCACCAGCCTTATAATGTGCACAAAGCAATTCCATGCTCTCAAGATCCTCACCACAACCCCATAAAGAAGGCCATGCAAGTAGGAGATACAGATGTGGGCAAGCACAAAGGTTTGGGATTTGTCAAGGCATCAGATGCTTCTAAAGCTCCCCAGGTAATTCTAGTGTGCAGCCAATATTGAGAACTATTGTTCTAGGCATACTATTTCCTTCCCCTAAATGTAATCTGGTCCTTCCTATTCCCTATTAGAAAGTCACACTCACTACTCCCTCAGTTTGCTGAATGTCCCTGAGAAATTGAGATAGGAATCAAGTTGAGGGTGGTAGTCCAAAGGTTGGAGAGATCAATTTCCTTGT